ATGGCTTTGAGGGACAGCGAAGTGTGAGCAGGATATATTAGGAAATGTAGTTAATATTAAAAAAAATAAAAATGTACTTTTAAAAAAATTTTACTTTTAAAGAAGGAAATAATATAATAAAACCTTGGTAGAACCAGAAAAAAACTGAATCATGAGGCTGACGTTCAGAGTAACTTATGGTGCCTTATAAGAAGTTTATGGCAAGTTTTTGACATAATTAGTTGTAAATATTTGCCCTGAACTTGTTACAGTTTTCTCTATCAGGTATCAAAGTAGCAAATGGGAAATATCTTTAAATATTTGATCAGACCTTGAGCAACATTTTGAAGTGGCTGAAATTTGTCATTGATAAAATACCACCTCTTTCCTTATTTTCCTCAGGATTTGGATGTCATAATGCTGCCTCTGGCTACTCAAAGCTTTCTAGTTTGGCATTCACCTGCCCTTCCTCCCAAGTCCTCAATGCTACACAATTACCCCTATAGTGATCTTTCTGCCACATCAAATCTTCCTCCCTTTCTTCTTTAATCCTGTTGCAAATTAATCCTAAAACAATGAACACATTTTGTAAAGTGCCTCAAGTCTATTTACTGAATTCAAACATTTTAAATAAAAAGCAGCCCTGCTTATAAAAGCAGTTTGTTTTCTAACATCCCCCATCCCTCACACAGGAAAATCCAGTTGCTGTTTGTAATACTACTTCAGTACGTTGATACATCTGTGATTTCATCAATGGTAGGTACTCCTTCCAGTCGTATTGATCTCAATCCTCTCTCTCATTCTCATTTGGGTAACTTTTTGCCTTGTTCTCCTATGCCTCTTCCTTAGGTAACTGACACAAAGTGCCAGGACCCTCCTTTAGATGTCTTGACACTGTATGGATACCACTGCGGTATCTGAACTGTCCACTGGTTTATCCTTCGTTTGCTGCATGATCGTCTCAACTCTTCTGCTCACGAATCTCTCTGATGCTGTCTCCACCTCACTTTTCCTGTGTACTTCTTCTTTGGTAATATGTTGTGGCCCAGTCACTCTCACCACTTGGCTACACTGACTTTAATTATTCAGAAACTGTGGTATTTCATGACTTGAAGCCATATATCATCAAATGGAAGAATACTGATGTTAAAAAGATGAGACTCTGTTTCAAGGAGAAGCATGGCATAGTTAAAACCATCAATGAAATCTAAGTCCTTTTCCTTCTCCTATTCAATTTTGGGCTCAGTTTATTTTCAACACCTAGCCTAAGATATCTGTACTGATGCAACATCTCTATGGATTTTCCATCCAACTGCATGTAACAGTCTCAGTAAGAGGCTTTCTTCATCCACTTATTTTGTCCTGTGGTTGATAGTTAGGCAGAACTCCTTTTTTGTGACAATGGGTCTCATTTAGGAGATTCTGTAATGTTATGGGTTTTTGGCAGTGAGTATATTGTCATCCAAACACAGGGCTATCTGGACAAGATCTCTCTCTTCCATTTGGAAACTGTTTTGCACAGCTTTTGCTACAAAAGCAAACCTCTTTGGCAAAAGTATGTCTCTTGACTACATGCCTTGATTGATATTAGTATCAGAGGGTTGTTGAGCAAAATTCTCTTTGTCACAATTGTCAGGGGTCTTGTATGATTCTGAAATATACAATGGAGCAACTTTTTTGGAAAAGACTTACTAAGGCTGTGTTTTGTTCTACTGATGCAAACGCCTTTTAACAAATAGTAAACAAACAATAAGTGTAGTGAAATCTTGAAACTCATACCTTTTAATTACCCGTGTTACTGTAAAGCTGTCTTCTGCTATAGAGTATTATTTGCAAAAGCTTTCCTGTTCTCTTTTCATAGTTTCATTCAAGATTGCACTTGAGGAAAGGGCATAATATTTTACCATTATAAAAATTTAGAAGAGATGAGAAAATGGAAATATGAGTTGGCAGAAACTGATATTTTTACTGTTTCCCATTTTTGGTAATTATAAGATTTCTTCCTAAGCTATTGATATCCTTTCTGCTTTCAGATAAATACAAATACAGGGTTATAATGTAGAGATAACAGCTTCCTGGTCAGAGCTGGAGTACAGCTAATCAAGGCTGGTAAAAATACATTTTCTAAAAAGCAAGGAAAAGGAAAAAGACACCTCTGTGTATTCCTCAGAGCTAGATCCCACAGATAGTAGGTACAATGAAGAGAAGTTGACACATTCAGAAGTTTACATGAGATAAAACCTAAGAAAGCAGCCAATTATATATCCCTTGGACTCAAAATGCCTATGCATAAACTTCCAAAGGTTAGGTAGCAAGCAAGAGGAACTAGAGATTCTAACATAAGGAGGCAAATTTGACCTCACTGAGACTTGACAGTGTGAAATCCATGACTAGAATATGGCTTTATACTTTATTGAAAAGGGAGGTGACAATAAGGGCTGTATGGTATGTATTTATTATGTGAGGAATAATATTCCTTATGTTTCAGGAAGAGTAGGGAGCATTCACTCGTCTTCTCTGTCTCTCTCTGCCTGTCTGTCTGTCTCTCCCAAAGCAGGTTATAATTTCTTGACTTAACTTAATGATAATTTTATTCTTCAAAAGGTGGAAGAACCAATAAGAGGGAATGCTATTCTGAATCTAATTGGATTTTTATTTTCTCACTAACAGAGAGGAACTGGTTACTGGTGTGAAAATGATAGAAAATTCCTTCTTAGAATTTATGATAGAGAAAAGGGGAAATCTAGACACAGTTTGACATGTAACTTAAATTTTGGGCAAGCAAAAGTCATAGGGTTTACGAGATTAATAGGATCCCATGGGTTGAAATGCTATAGGGTCAGTCAGCCCCTATTGGGATTGGAGTTGCTCATGAATGAAATTCTGAGGACACAAAAGCAAACAATTCCAATGAAGAGGAAAAAATGGAATTTGTCTGAAGACACCAATATATATGCACAGGGAACTCACTGACTAAAACAGATTTAAAAAAGAAATGTACAAAAGATGGAAGCAAAGTCAGGTAACAAGAGATGACCATGAGTGTGGCATAGTCCTGAAAAAATGTAGCAATAAGAATTTATTAAGCACCAATTACATGCCATGCGCTGGTAATATTATTTAGGCTTTCAGTCAGGAAAAATTTCCTAACCATTAGAGCTCTCTCAAAGTGTAGTGGGTTGCCTCAGAGGCAAAATTATGGTCAGGTCAACAAGCATTTTTTGGCATCTGCTAAGTGCCTAAGCAAGGCTAAACAGTCCTTGCCCTCAAGGAGTTCTCAGTGGTTTTTTTTTGGGGGGGGAGTGGGGGGGGAGGAGTAGGAATAGCATATAAACAACTATGTCCAAACAAGATATATGCAGGATAAATTGGAAATAATCTCAGGAATAAGGCACAAGATTAAGGAAGGCTGAGCAAAACTTCTTTCAGAAGGTGAGACTTCAGCTGAGACTTGAAAGAAGCCAGGAGGTGTAGAGGAGGAGGAAGAGTCCTGGCATGGGGGACAACCAGTACAAAGCACGGAGATGGGAAGTGGAGTGTTGTGCACAAGGAATAACCAGGAGGCCAGTGTCACTGCGTCACAGGATATGTTGGAGTGGGGAAGGAAGGGTGGTAAGGTTTCAGAGGGATGTGGCAAGGTGTAAGAAGACTAGAAAGACTGGAAGAGGTCAGTTATGGAGAGCTTTTACAAATCAAAGAGAGGATTTTATATTTAATCCAGGAAATAAAAGAGAGCCACTGAAACTGACTGAATTGGGACTGACCTGTCAGGTCTGTGCTTTAGGAAGATCACTTTGATGGCTGAATGTAGTATGGACTGTGCTGGGGAGAGACCTGAGGCAGGGAGACCAACCAATAGGCTACTCCATAGACTGCGTGTGAAGTGATGAGGGCCTGTGCCACCATGGTGGCATAGTCACAGGAGAGAAGGGAGCACATATGAGATGAGTTATGAACCTAGAAACAACAGGGCCTGACAAGTGACTGGATATGAGAGGGAGAGTGAGGAGCAGAAGATGAAAGCTAGGTTGCAAGACTGGGCGGCTATAATGTGGATTTGTTTTGGGTACTGGCTGAACTAGATGGTTGCTGAGATCCCTTTCAATTCTCAAATTCTATGATTTAGTGTTGCTATTGAAAGGAAAATAAAGTTCCAGTCCAGAGGAAAGTATGGTATAGAGGACAGTGAGCTAGCCTCAGCCCTTCTTCAAATCATGCCTCTGACATATACTGGCTGTGTAATTCTAGATAAGTAATTTTACCTGTCAGGGTCCCAGGCAACTCTAAGAGTCTAAGTTGCTAATCTGTATTGGTAGAGGGATCTTCCTCATTGGAAGCTCTTTCTATTGATGAAATCACAGGTCTAGTACCCCAACCGAAGTCCCATTTGTGTCCCTCCTCCAAGAAAGATCTTGACAAAATAGTTATAACAGCATTATTTGTAATAACAAAATTGGCAATTACTACTTCCAAGAATTGGTCAATAACTAAATGACCTGTGGCTGTATAAATGTTAATAGAGCACCACAGCAACATAGGAAAGGTTAAGTCCAAATAAATATATTTAGCCTTTTATGAAGTGTTAAATTGAAGCATCATAATACAATACATCATATACAATGACTACAACTCCATAAAAAGGAAAGCAACATCAAAATCTGAAAAAAAAATGCAAAGGAAAAAATTAAGAAGGGGATACAGAAGCATATAGGACCTTTTAATTATTCTCATCATGAAGTAAATATGCAGTTAAAAATAAACAGTGACCAATGCAGTTTATGTTTTTTATTCATTTGTATAGTTGAATTTATGTTGACACTTCTAAGTTCAGAATTTTTAGACTTGACAAACTAAAGGCTGGGGCTATTCACATTTACTAGCCTAATTTCCTTAGGACATAAATTCATTTTCTCAAAAAGTGCCATTATCTGGGACTTGTGAGTCATTTTTATTGATACATTTTCATCATGATACTTGTAATATCATTATATAAAAACAATAAGACTTTTTATTTCTCTTACCTTCTGACATAGTGAGTTCATTAGGTGGTTGCTGAGCAACCCCTGATGCAATAGAGTCGGGCCAGAATCTTTGAACTGGTCTATTCTGAGCTGTTTTTTTCTTTGTTTTTGGAGTTTCTGAACAACTGGAATCCAACATTGGCTGGAGAATTCGTCTTCTGGCATTGATAAACCTGATTATCAAATAAAAATCTCAGATAAGAATGACACCTAAAAAAACAAATCCACTGCCAAGATTGACACACAAGATTATCATGGTCAAGTTTCTTCTTTATCACTATTAATAATAATAAAAATATGAATAATAAAATATGGAAAACAGTTCATGAGGAACATATCCTGAAACCTTACAAACATATGGTGTTAATGTTTCCAAAATATTTCACTTTTATAGGTCTTGATGTCTTCCCACTTTCTCACCTACTAAATTATTTTTATTCTATGTGTGTGTGTGTGTGTGGGGGGGGGGTTACCTGTAAGGTTAATAGCTAAAGAAAATAAAAATCTTCTAAGGAGAGAATACCACAAAGGCATTAGTGCCTTCCTTTATTTTCTCTCAAAATACTTAGGCAATTTTTACTAGCAATTGCAGGTAGGGAATATGCCTTTGGTTATGATGATTTAAGACTAAGCCTTCAACTGAAACTTTCACATACTGCCTTTTCAGCTTACTGGTAGTTAGAGAACATGAAACTATGTCATATAAGAAACAGCTGAAGGAATTCGAGAAATTAAAAAGGCCGGTGAAGAGAAGAGATGGGGAGGAGAAATGATCACTTCAAACATAAGAAGTGTCACGTGCAAGAGTGATGAGACTTATTTGTGTGTCCCCAAAGTCCGAAACCAGGAATGATGGGTAAAAACTGCAGGTATGCATACTGCAATTTAATATAAGTGAGCACTTCCAAAGAATTCCTCTACTAAAGTCCCACTCCAATGTCACATTGTGGAATAAAGCTGATATGGCTTGAAAGCCATGCCAAGAAAACATAAGCACCAACAGCTAGAATAGCTAGTCTAAGCCTGAAGATGAACTATATTTCTGCTGTTTGAGGACCTATACACCTAAATTGGGAGAAATTCATCTCTAGACTATACTAGGATTATGATTTTTTAGTTACATCAACTCATAAAGACCATCTAACAAGTTATAGAGGAATTATAATCTGAATCAATAAAGGGAGTATGTTTACTATCACAATTATATAATTTTTAAAACAATTTTTTAAAAAAGAAGCTCTATATTACATTAACTGTTACTGAAGTAAAAAACTCCATTGTTATTTTTCAACATTTGTCACTTCTTTAATATTAGTCAAACCATTTCCTGAATAGGTTTCCCTAGCAAGCGGGTGCTTTGTGAAAACAAAAGGGAGGGAAAACAAAAAGAATGAAAGAAGGAGCAAATATTCATTGAGATTTAATTCAGAATTTATTTTTAAATCTTCTAGATCAAACACTTCTGATGCAAAACAACTATAAAACAATTTAGAAAACATAAACAAGGCCATTAGGTAAAGAAAAAGAAACCTGTAAACAGGTTAAACGTTTTATCTTTGTTTTACAAAAACTGTAACTGCAGAACCAAAATCAATCACTATTAAAATAATAATAATGATAATAATATTATACTGAATATACAGTATATGTAAATATGTAAAAAGTTTTATAGTAAGAACATAACCCCAAATAACATACTCCAAATAACATAAATAACCCCAAATAACATAACATGATATGTTCATCAGGAATATAATTCTGATAATTATGTTATGAAGAAACCATTCAATTATTCCTTATTCCTAAATGAATCAAATCATAATGCATAATAACAGAAATATTTAATGTAATATTCTATAGAATTATTCCTTAAGATAGAAATGCACCTGAGTGCATTTATAAGGAATTGTAAAATTATGGGGAGAATAAACTTTCCCTAAAACTTATTCCAGTTACCTATAAATGCAAACTTAAAGTATGAAGATACAAACATTTATATATGGCAGAATTTGTTCTCTTTTTTCTTAAATGAATGTTAATATTATTATGAGAGAATCATCACAAATTGAAGATCTATCTGTGGATACAAACCATTTGAGTTTAATAGGCAAAACTGTATATTATCATCTGGACAAATATGATTAAAAAAACCAAGTGAAAAATATAAACCTAGATACACACTTTGAAGTTGTAGGAGTATAATTTTTATAGGCTAAGGAGGAAACAGACATTTTTATTCTCATTTTGTAAATAAAGAAAATTCAGAGGTTGTGGACCTAAGTCATTTAGCAATGGTAGAGAAGTGAAACCCATAACATGTTTCATTTGTAATTTAAAAAAAAAAACCTAGTACAGAACATACCTTTTTGCCTGCATTTTGCTACAGGCGAAAACCACACATTTGGAAAAATGCTACATCTTCAAATTGTGAATTTCCATCACAAACATTAGTCATAAGACAGTCAACTACTATGCGATTTTGGAAATTCACCTCAATGTCTTTTTCCCAAGTATCCCTTCTTTTCCTAATTTTTTAATTTCTAAAGTTGGGTAAGAATATTTCCTTTTGAAATTTCAAATTAGCTCTCTCTGCAAGGATGCCAACATTAAGAGTCCTGTTTGGGATCAAGGTTATTATAAGTAAGATGGAAACTGGCTTCCCATATTTGTGTTCAGGGGTGAACAATCAAGAATGTATAGCTTGAAAGAAGTCCCTGGGCTGGGGAATAATAACGTCAGAGAGGACACTGGGTCTATAATTATTTATTAAGTAAGCTGATCAACACAGACCCCAACCTTTAAATGTGGATAATACAGGGGACTGAACTACAAATGTACATTTTAAAACCTGATATCTACTCATTTCAACTAAATGAAAACTTACTTATTAAATGCCTATTGTTTGTTCAAGCTACTGTGCTAGGAGAGATACAATAAGAAACAAAAGATATAATCAATCACTGACTCCCAAAGAGTCATTTTACTGAAGGGGATATACTTGGGCCAGTTGGTACAAAAGATTGAGTTAGGAGAAAGAATATAGAGTCTGTAAAGAGAACTAATGACAAATGAGACTAGAAAAGTAAGCTAGATTGTGAAAGGTCTTAAATGCTAAGATAAAAAATGGCACCTTGCTGAAAAGGCCAAAGGGCTAAATTAAATACAAAAAATTTGAACGGGAAACACATGTAGGTATTATCTATTAGTGTCTTCATACTATTTTACTATCTTCCCTCTATACCAAATTAAGGGAATTCAGATTTCTAATCTTTTATATTATTTGGTATAAATAGTTCAATGTAGTTTTCCATATTAATTTTTGTTGTTTAGTTGTTTTAGTCATGTCTAACTCTTTGTGACTCCATTTGGGGTTTTCTTGGCAAATATACTGGAGTAGTTTGCGATTTCCTTCTCTAGCTCATTTTACAGAAGAGGAAACTGAGGTAAACAGGATTAAGTGACTTGCCCAGTGTCACACAGCTAGTAAGTGTCTGAGGCCACATTTGAACCCAGGTGTTCCTGACTCTAGGCCTGGCACCTTATGCACTAAGTCACCTAGCTGCCCTCTGGATTCATAGGAATACTTATAGACTGACATTTTATCTTACCAATTATTAACTTGGAGTAGTGTCAGGTTGGTCTGAGCTGCAATCTGCTTTTTCTCATCTTCTGTTGGATAGGGATGCTAAAAAAAATTTTTTTAAAGTTACCCATAAGTTTCAATATTAAAAACAGGAGCTATGTAAGAGTTACTGTGGTAAAACATAAAACACAAATCATTATTAATAAGTCCTGGCAAATAACAATTAAGTTTTAAGCAAAAACTAATTTTGGCTTTAGCCAGGAAATGTCACCATTTTATTATGCATAACATAAAAGTAGACGCTTATAATTATAGTTGCCTAAGAGCTTTTGTCAGTTTAATCAATGATCAGCAAAGCATGCTATAAGAATTACACTGTCTGTTATACTGTATGAAAATTTGGTAATATAAGAGTAATGCCAAACATTTTTGTGGTTAAATAAAACTAGAGTAAACTGATCAAGGTAAGAAGTTTATACTGCTTTAAGAATTACGAGAAATACTTCTATTTGCTGATAGTCAAGAAAACTAACCCAGGAATTATCTTCAAATATTGCCCAATGAAAACATTTCTACATATTATTAGGTGTTATGTACTAGTTATTAAAGTCTAGATGAAAAAAACCCCACCATTTTATTATATACTGAGCAAATAATAACCTACCTGCTTTGGACATGAACTATTTGGCTATAAGTCACTAAATGGTATTAATACAATAATAGTTTGGTTTTTTTCATTAGCTTTTTTACTTTTAGAACAGCATTTAGAAAATTTGTATATCTTAAATTAAATTACTAAACTACTAAATAACTAGGTATAACAGATTTTTAAAAAGCTTTCTGTGATACTGAATATAAAAGACTAATTTTCTCTACCTGACTTACACAAAAAAGGTGGTTCTAACATTTTTTTAAAAATAGATGCATTCTTTTATAGTTGAGAGAGTGGGAAAGAGAATGAAACACAGGAAAGGACAGGACATTAATTTTAACATAGAAGACGAACTTGAATGTAGAACCAGGGCAGAAATTCAGAAAAAATAACATGAGTAATTGATCAGACTTCATATTTGACCCTTTAAATGGGATCTACTCATCTCACTTTCTGAAGGGAAAAGCTAAGATGGCCCCAGATCTCTATGAAGTCAGTTCTTCCCACTGGTTTTTAGAAAGGCAGAGCCAACCCTAGACAGAATTTTTAAGTGGCAAGTTTTTTTACCCCCTTTTTGGAGTCTTCATATGCTCCTCCTTTTCTGAACTAAAAAATATTCTTCCTTCTTCTGAGTGCCCTACCTTATACCATCTCTCATTCTGCTTTATGAATAATAAAAGCTTCCTTCTATGCCTGTCTACTATTGGTACCACGCAGGCCTGTCTTTATCACTCCTACCCTAAATTCTCTTGTTCCTATTTTTCCAAAGGTACTTCTGCCTCTGCCACTACAATCACTACCACATTGCTTTGAGCTAAGTTAATCACAATATGGTATCAAAATGAATAAACGTTAGGCACAGTTAACCCAAATAAATCTTTAGCTAGCAGAATTTCAAAAAAGTATAGGATAAGTTTTAAGGTAGGAAGCATTTAATATCCTACATGGAAGGCCAACTCCAGGAAGGAGGAGGGAAGGAATGAAATACAGTGCTTTCTGCAATAGTACTGCCCTTGGAACTTTGCTTCTCTAGTCCTATTAGCTTTGTAGCTGAAACTCAAGACCCAGGAAATACGAGTTTTGCCATTTAATGATGAGGCCACAATTACCACAGAAAGTGGAGACTACCCTTGTCTTACAACGTTCACTGTATCCCAGCGTATGGATGTTCCATGGTGGTCAAACTTTTGTCAAGAAGACCTCTTTAGCCACCTTAAACCACAGGTGCCCCTTGCTCAAGAAGCTGAAAACCCAGCTACTTGGATTATGGATCCAAGGATTTTTGGAAGGATCCAAGGGCAACTCTTTCCCTTTTCAAGTCCTCCTGACCTCTCCTCTTCTGCTCCTGGATCAAGGTCTTGCCCCCGTTTTTTTTTTTTTAAATTCAGCTGCATGTCAGACTGCAGCAAGTTGAGTTACCTTGGACTCAGGTCTTCTTCTACTACCCCGTTCTACCATCCTGCCCTGAGTGAATTCCACTACACCAGAGGACTTGCTTCTGGGGTAAATAGAATGGAGGAGTTGAAGGCTGACAACATAGTGGATCTCTCAGTAACTAAACTCTCTTAATATATACAAAATTATCATAGTTTGGTAGTATGATAATCAACTCATGATAAAATAAATTTGAATATATTATCATTCACATTATCTCAATTAGTGAGTATTTATTGAGCCCTTACTATTTTGTACAATCTCCTATGGGATACAAAAGAAGTGTAAGTTATAATTCCCCAAGGAACTTCCCATCCCTTTGGGAGAAAATGAAAGATTCACATGAAACAATTAAGCATAAGGGCATTAATTTTTGCCATAGACTACACATTTCAACCAAACAAATCTGCTAATTGACCCACATTTGCCAGTAATGCTACAATATACTTCCACCTAGAATGTTCTTTTCTTAATAGTACATTACCCTTTCTTTTTTCAAGACCTTGATCAGTGTGTATCTTGTCCATTCAGTCTTCACTAATTAAGCCTACCCAGCTCCAATCATGTTTACTCCATTTTCTTCAGTACCTATGCAATAAATCCAGTATACTATTTTAATTTTTACAAAATCATGTGCACTTAAAACTTCCCATGTCCTTTTTATCTGTTAGTCTAATTTCCATTAGCTTCTTAAGGGTGTCACCTTCATGTTTCATAATTCCTTTCCAAAACTGACTAATATTCTAAAAGTACTGACTTCTAGAATTAGGCCTAGTAGTCTGTAAAGGATTTTTTTTTCATGAAACATATCAAGCCACACAAAGAAACTATTCCAAAATCTTCTAAGATTGATTACAAAATCACAAAATCTTACCCCTATATGCTGAAAGAGCCAAGATCTCATAACATTTGTAGCATGTTTTGGCAAAACTCCTCTTTTATTCTTAGATGAGCCATCTTCTTGATGCAAGATGCTGAGATCTTGGTTTAACTGTAACTGAAGCTTTTAAATAAGTAGAAGAAAATGTTATAAAGCAACAAAAATTACATGCATTAACATGCATAAAACTTTAGTTAAAGAAATTATATGGAATGTTTATGACTGAAAGGATGACTGTCATTTAAACAACTATTTGTAATAATACTGGTATCTTTTTTTTTTAACATAGTCCACATGGATCCAAGCTGAAGGGATAGGGACCTTAATAATATAACAAACTCTTCACCTATTTAACTATCACATAGCCACAAATGTAGGTATAAGATAAATAGTCCTTTGAGCAGATGAAATAGTTATCATGTGCTTACTTAGTAAGCAAGGATTCATGTATTTTAGTCATAACATAATAAAATATGAATATTTATCTACATATATTCCTAGCCTATTTACCTTTATTTTACACACATTTCAAAGAGCTTTGTTATTCAAATTTGACCAAAGGGTTATAAGATGCATATTTGTTTAAAAAAAAAAGGGTCTGCATCTTGAAAAGTACTATAGAATATCCTAAAAGCAATTAAGTCTGTTCTCTTCCTCATCTTCAGTTCTGGCTTCACCTCATCAATGATGTTCAGTGTCTGTATAACACAATTAATGGGCCAGCAAAACAAGTTGTCCATACAGCTACAAATCAGACTAGATAACAGCATTGCTATGTTGCTAGTCTTTCAGTCTATAAATAGTATTCTTCATCCATTTTGGTTATTCTACTGTGGATACTCAGGCAGAACTACTTTGTCTAAGAAGGGATCCCATGTTCTAGGATTTGATGCAATCAAGATGCCATCTATAAACAGTGACTATCTGGAGGCCCTCATCATATGTATGGAATCTCTTTTGTACATGGATTTTGTACTGGTTATTTTTAATGGCAATGGCAAACAAACATATGTCTCCACATGAACATATTCTTCTGATGATATAGTGTTAACCTCCCGTCCCCCAAGCTGTACTTCTTTTCTGTCTTCTTCTTTATCCCTTCTTTTACCTTTCCCTATTCTTTACCTCATCTCCCCTCATATCACAAAGAAAAAAAAATGACTCCTTTAAAAAAGAGGAAATGTCTGTTTAATGATTTAAGAGTAATTTCTGCATTAGTTATCCATGTATGATACAACCACAAATAGCTCAAAGCTAAAATTTAAAAAAAAACTAATCTCAAATTAAAAGACTATGAAAAAGGAAATACAGTGCAGAAGAGAAGTAAATTCGAACTTGATCTATATAAACAAGCAATGATGCTGAAAATGCAAAATCATTAAAATAACATATCTGAGTATTAGTCTATGTTCATTTCCTAAAGAAATACAACCAATGTAAACAAATTGTCATCGTGAGGAGAACAAAAGAGACAGAAATTTTCCTTAACCAGCAAATACTTGTATTTTTCCCAAGATAAGAGATATGGTAGCCAAGGCAAATTTAGACTGTATACCCATTTGCAAAATCTTACAGGTAAAGATGGCAGAAGGTTATGAGCTGTATTCACCTCAATGGTGACTCAATGGACAGAAAAATCAGCTAAAGGAAATTATGGTGAGAAACCCAACTAACCAGATCAGGAAAAGGGCATAATGTTACTGTGGGAAAAGGGCATATGTCAGAATCACACAAGACCCCTGACAATTGTGACAAAGAGAATTTTGCTCAAGAACTCTCTGGATACTAGTATCAATCAAGGCATGTAGTCAAGAGACACACTTTTGCCAAAGAGGTTTGCTTTTGTAGCAAAAGCTGTGCAAAACAGATTCCAAATAGAAGAGAGAGCTCTTGTCCAGACAGTCCTGTGTTTGGATGACAATATACTACCAAAAGTCCACAGCATTGCAGAGCCTCCTAAATGAGAGCCATCGTCACAAAAAAAAAGAGTTCTGCCTAATTATCAAACACAGGACAAAATAAGTGGATAAAGAAAGCCTCTTACTGAGACTGTTACATGCAGTTGGATGGAAAATCCATAGAGATGCTGCATCAGTACAGATATCTTAGGCTAGGTGTCGAAAATAACTGAGCCCAAAATTGAATAGGAGAAAGAAAAGGGCTTAGATTTCATTGGTGTTTTTAACTATGCCATGCTTCTCCTTGAAACAAAGTCCCATCTTTTTAGCATCAGTATTCTTCATATTATTCGCCAAGTGGTAGAGTGACTGGGCCACAACATATTACCAAAGAAGAAAAACACAGGAAAAGTGAGGCCGGGGGCAGTATCAGAGAAATTCGTGAGCAGAAAAGTTAAGACGATCATGCAGCAAATGAAGGATAAACCAGAGGACAGTTCAGATGCTAGTAGTATCCATTAAGTGTCAAGACATCTAAAGGAGGGTCCCTGGCACTTTGTGTCAGTTACCTAAGGAAGAGGCATAGGAGAACAAGGCAAAAAGTTATCCAAATGAGAATGAGAGAGAGGATTGAGATCAATACGACTGGAAGGAGTGCCTACCATTGATGAAATCACAGATGTATCAACATACTGAAGTAGTATTACAAACAGCAACTGGATTTTCCTGTGTGAGGGATGGGGGATGTTAGAAAACAAACTGCTTTTATAAGCAGGGCTGCTTTTTATTTAAAATGTTTGAATTCAGTAAATAGACTTGAGGCACTTTTCAAAATGTGTTCATTGTTTTAGGATTAATTTGCAACAGGATTAAAGAAGAAAGGGAGGAAGATTTGATGTGGCAGAAAGATCACTATAGGGGTAATTGTGTAGCACTGAGGACTTGGGAGGAAGGGCAGGTGAATGCCAAACTAGAAAGCTTTGAGCAGCCAAAGGCAGCATTATGACATCCAAATCCTGAGGAAAATAAGGAAAGCAATAGCAAAAGAGGTGGGATGGATGGAGGGAGGCTGGGTTGTTGAGTTGGAGGAGCCCCCACAGCTCTTTCTTCCTGATATGTTGCACTGACAGGACAGGAGGGAGTCACAGGAGATGTATGCATCAAAGACACAAATCAGCCAGTAATGAAATCAGCTCTGGAATAATTACTGTGTAGACCAAAATCAAGAGTCAGATTAATCTGTACTAAGGAACTCAAAGAGACAGATGTCATAAATATTGATGTCACATTTTCCTTAGAAAATCTGTATCTTATTGCAGATAAGATGGGAAGGTTACCTTGTTACTTCAATAGAGGTTATAGTGCTACTCAAAGCTAAAAAAAAAAAAGACCCTTGAAGTTTAATAAAGGGAAAGACAAAAGTGCTAAACTAAAGGTATTTGTGTATACTTCAACAGCTTTAGTTTCATCTTCTAGAGTCTAGGGGTGGGGGCTGTGGGCTTGGGGCCACATGTGGCCTTCTATGTCCTCAAGTGTGGCCCTTTGACTGAGTTCAAACTTCATAGAACAAATCCCCTGAATAAAAGGATTTGTTATGCCAAACTTGGACTGGGTCATAAGACCACACCCAAGGACCTAGAAGGCCACATGTGGCCTTGAGGCTATAGGTTCCCCACCTTGTACCTAGATCAAATGTGACTACTTTCCTCACATTCAGCAGATGTCAAACTAAAAGAAGAAACGAATGATAGGAAGAAGAATATGCTGGAAAACCCTGAGGCACAGCTAGTTAAGCTGTTCTGTGTTGCAGAAGCTCTAAAAAAGGAAAAGAGAAAGAAGTGGAAAAAGTATGGAAGAAAAGGCAATGAGTAACTTTAAGGTGGAAACAGAAAAGCTAAAAGAAGTCTTGTCTAGGTGAGATGGTGTAGAATTCCTGTGTCTCTTGTGCTGAAGATTCATTAACAAGAATAAGAACTGAAAACTGATAAGTTTGTTTCATAGTAACAAATGGTTTGAGTGTGCAATAGAAAAAAAAGAAGAAACGAGTATATTCATTTTAATACATATAAGAAGGGGCAATAATGAAAAATTTTCATTTTATTTTATTTATCAATATGAAAAAAGATGCCATATTTCTTACTATGCTGGAATTGCAAATCTCTTTTTTGTGGTTTGCTTGAAAATATTACTGAATCTGTTTCAAAGAAGAGGAAGTTCATAGTGAATTTTTATTGAATACTTATGATGTAATTTTTAAAGAGGTCAATACTACAAATAGATTAATATAGCCTTAAAAGTAACTAGTAAAACATACTATGAGGAAGGGAAAAATCAGCTTACTAATAACTGTAGCAATTACTTTTCTTATAATGCAAAAGAAATATATGATATTTTATATATTTTAAAAATTTTTTAGCTTTCCCACCCCAAATTACAACTTTGTACCTACATCTGTACAATGCTGCATTTGGGTGATGAAAATAGGAATCTGTTAACTATAAAACAGATGAGTCACCTGTGCAAATAGTAATAACTAATCAAATAAACAAAATAAATTTGATACCTGAAAAATTTCATGTCAGTTGTAACTCAAGTTTCATAAAAGAAATTTATTCAACTATATTCAAGTCATTAAGCATATGAGATTTTCTAAAATCCGTCAAAGCCAAGAGGCCAGAAAGCTTTCCTTAGCTGAATATGCCTAGAACTGCAGCAAATTTACTATACAAATACTAGCCTTAGTCTGTATTTATCTGCTTATATAGTAGATTCAAATATTATCTGTCCCAAGGTCTTATGATTTAGCCTGAATCTTTTAAAAACAATATTAACAAAACAAAGTATAACTCTTTAGAAAATTTATTATGAAAGACCAGAGCAACCAATCTATCATATAAATGTTAAATTAAAATATTATTTGGCTAATAAACTAAGTAACCTTAAAAACCAAATATTGCCACTTTTTCAAGCACATTTTCATAAACCACATGGTTAGCATTAATAGCTTCTCTGAAATAATTTGTGATTATCTACCACAGCTTCCAAATAATTCTCTATGTTAGGTCAATATGGAAAATTTTAATATTAACTAGCATCTTTTCCCAAAAATAGGTAGTTTAGGGTTTAAGTTCTATTATAGCAAATGGCCTAAACATTTCTGTTTATGAAATTACATGATTGTAGAGCATGTGTCACCATGCTTCCATTTTATTTTCTATTCCTTAA